ATGAAATTTTAATGAAATAATACTGAAGGTGGGTCAATTAATAGAAATTTCAGCATGAAATTCAGTAAATTTCGATGATATTTCATAATTTTTCATTTACAATTTCAATAATATTTCATCATTATTCATCATAATTCAGGAAAAAATTTCCATTAGGGAGGTCTTGATTAATGTGAATACATCAACTTGAAATTCAGACCTTCAAATTTTATTCATGTATAGTTTGCTGTTTGTCGTGAACAATTTTTATACTTTAAACTGATTTTTATATATTTTACGTTTTTATAGATTTTTATGCCTTTCACATACATCAAGCAACATGGAGGGCAAAGAAAATAAACCAGGAATTTTAAGTTGTACTGTAAAGGGTAAACTATTTGATAATAATATTATTCTACACAGATTTTATACCATGAACGAAACAACGTGAATCTCAGATTTTTTGCCACTGGAAATTAATCCATAAATGAAATTGTTCTAACACATCACATTTTTAAGATACTTTACTTTAAAAGTATCAAAAAATGCTATCTTTAGCACTTTTAAGTTCAATTCTTTCAAAAACGTGATGTGAGAGATAGAACAATTTTATTTACGAATTCATTCTCAGTGACAAAAAATCTGTAAGGATTTTATCCCGTTCGTGGTCTAGAAAAGTTCAAATTTATCGGACAATATTATTTATGATGTACTCTATAGTCTTCTAACCTTATTGTAATTATTTATTTTTAATAATACAAACACGATATGAATTGTTTATTTTATATTACTATATATATTACTATAGATTTGTGAATACAGGTCCTGGTCCAGTTTATAAATTACCAACATTAGTTGGCTACAATGGTCATGATCCATCTCGATATAGAAATCCAGCATATAGTATACGAGCTCGAACTGATATAAAGACATCTGTGATAGGGCCTGGTCCTCATTACAATGTCAGAAATTTAACAAAATCTGGGTCAGATAATCCACCCGCTTACACAATCAGAGGAAGAAAAGCTTGGAGTAGTGAGTATAAAATAGTGCTTTCTTAAGAGGTTCCTTCCTTTGAGGCTTTGAGGAAAATAATATTAATACTTAATAATATTAATATTTGCAGTGCCAGATCATGTTCCTGGACCTGGAGCATACTCTCCCGAGTTGTGTCCACCGATGAATCACAGTCGTAGAGTACCAGCTTACAGTATCAAGTCACGAGGTGTGACAAAATTTTTAGATGAAGGGCCCGGACCAAATTCATATCTTTTGCCAACATGCATAGGACCCAAAGTGCCTGATAAGTCTGCTCAGAGTGCATTTTCTATGTAAAAATGTGGATAGATCTGTCATTTAATTGAATACGTACATGATAAAATATATATACAGAGTGGACCATTTTAATTTATCCTGTCAATTTTCTCAAAATCTGTAAGTTTAAGGCAAAAATGTTTCAGACAAAAGTTTCATGGTTTCAAGGGGGAAAGAAGTTGGTAACCTTGATTAACCTTGAGAAGATGTCGTTAAGGTCAGGTCAAGGTTACCTAAAATGTTTTTAATGGAACCCCTCATTTTTTATTGCATATTTTTATAGCTGTCTTCAAAACCTTTTGAAAACACTATGGCCGGTATTCATAGTCAGATCTTATATTCAAGACCGTCTTAGCCTTGAGGTGTCACGAACCAATCAGAAGGCCACATTAGCGTCTTAAGACATTACTTAAGACGGTCTTGAAATAAGAGCTGACTATGAATATCGGCCAATAATAAAGTTCATTTTCATTAAGTACTTTCCGAGTTATGACGTTTGAAAGTTACAGTACCAATGACATTTGCATTACTCAAGGTGTCAGACTGATGGCTGAAACCTTTGGAATGTTGTTCACAATCATGACGTTGACAACTTACATGTATATACTATAATTTAATTTGGTCCAAGGTCAGATTCAAGATCACCAACAGCTGTTGGTCGTCAAAAACTTTGGAGATATGTAATTCGGTCTAACATCAATCGAATTGTACTCGTGATGCTTAGAGCAATAAATTTTGATGAAAAAGATTCTCGTATTCAATTGATCTTTAAATAGTGAGAATATGTATAAATGCTCTGGTGAAAAAATATTGCTGAAATTATTCTACGTTTTGGAACACTTTTCAACAAAATTTCAGCATTTCAAAGAAATTTCAGTTTAATTTCAGCGATTTTTAGCTGAAAAATTCATTTTCGACAAAATTTCAAAAAAATTTCAGCAAAATTTTCAGATAAATTTCAGCAAAAATTTCAGAGAAATTTTAGTTGGATTTCAGTGATTTTTCAGTATGTTAGGTGAAAAAGTTTCAGCAATTTCGCTGAAATGTTCCAAAACATGGAATAATTTCAGTGAAACTTTTTCACCAGGGCGATGTTTGAGATTTTCAATTTGGTTGATATTAGACCGAATTACATACCTCTAGTTTTCGGAAAGCAGCTATTGGTGACCTTGAACCTGACCTTGGACCAAATTAAATTATAGTATGTAATCTGTAAGTTGTCAATGTCATGATTGTGAATTTCATTCCAAAGGTTTCAGCTATCAGTCTGACACTTTAGGCAATGCAAATGCCAGCGATACTGTAACTTTCACGCGTCATAATTCGAAAAGTACTTAATGAAAATGAACTTTATTATAGTGTTTTCAAAAAGTCTTGAAGACATCTATAAAATTATGTAATAAAAGATGAGGAGTTCCATTAAAAAAATTTTAGGTAACCTTGACCTGACCTTAAGGACATCTTCTCAAGGTCAACCAAGGTAACCAACTTCTTTCCCCCTGGAAACCATAAAACTTTTGTCTAAAACATTTTTGCCTTAAACGTACAGATTTTGAGATAATCGATTGGATAAATTAAAATGGTCCATCCTGTATATACATACATATATATTATACTATTATATAGATATATACAGGATGTCCCATTTTAAATAATGCATTAAGATTTCTCGAAAACTATGGTAGATACGGAAAAATGTTTCAAACAAAAGTTATATAATTCAAACAATAAGACTCTTATTTTTAGACCGTACCATGAGAAACACAATTAATAATAGAAATTTAAAAGCCTATATACCGGTCGAAGCTAAATCTTTAACGCTTTTTTTTTTAATAATTTAATATGAATTATATATATATTGCGTTTATATTTTGTATCTTTTTAGCATTGGTTATCGTAAGATACACGAAGAAATTTTGAAGAGTCCAGGCCCAGCCGCGTACATAAAAATAAATTATGATATGATAAAACGACGGAGTCCGTCATATAGTCTAAAGGGAAGACACATTTTATCAGAAAGATCTCACAGTCCTGCACCAATCTTTTATCCATTATATGATACACGAAAACGTTTACCTATGTATTCATTTGGTATAAAACATAGTGAATGCGCCGGAATACCTATGACACAGCTAGATGAGGATTAATTTTATAATCAATATTTGTATATAAACATTTTGTTATCGTATTTTTTATTTTTGCATAATAAATGCGGCTATACGCATACATTACAGTATAATAATATAATAGTGTAGCACATTACTCGTGGGTAAGTAGAGCGGATTAAATTAAACAAAAAACGGTAATTATTGACTCTCCTTGATGTTTGGTTTATGCTTCGGTTTTAATCCTAAAATTCAGCCAATAGGACTGCCAGTCCTAATAAGTCCTAACTGAAATCTGTATTCCATTGGCTGAATTTTAGGATTTTAGGGTTAAAACCGAAGCATAAATCAGATATTACTCCGGATCTACAATAAGTGATTTAAGCCTTAAGCCGTAAGAAATTGACCAATTACAGTCAAATCCGAGGAGAATAATCGACTGTGATTCGCCCATTTCTTATGGCTCAAGGCTTAAAATCCTATTGTTGGATTGCTTAAGATCCAGGGTAAAGCGGGGTCTACAATAGAAGTCGTAGCGGTCGTAGAAAATTAACCAATCACAATCGAATATGAGAAGAATAATCGATTATGATTGATCAATTTTCTACGATATAAGACCCTATTTTTACCTCCTAGAGAGAAAAGGAAGAAAGATGAACTGGTGCAAAAGTTCAGCCAAAAAGAACAGGCCTATTGATTGAGAATGTGTAGTGTTGAGAGAAGTATTTCATGATTGTTACAGATATTTTAACCTATGTTCTATAATCTTAACCTGAATATAGCTAACTTTAGCCATTAATTTCGGCTCCTGTACATAGGATCATAATGAAACTATTCATGAATAGAACGACAGGACGCTTGTTCCAACTTGTCCTAAATCCGTTCATGTCACGAACATTGGGGCATACGAATCCAACTGCTCCAACCGCTATCTTATCGGTGATCCAAGTGCTCTCTGGATTAATTTGGAGCAAACGACGCGAATAAACCTCTTGTCTTTATACCATGACTGCACACTAGTAGTGCTCAGTATTTTTCTACAAGGGAATAACAAACACTTTTGATACATACGAGAAGTTACTACTGTCGATCACTGTCAATAAAAGATTAAAAATATTTATAAATAATAGTTCAAATATATAAATATTTCGTACTTATCGTAAAGATCAGATTCTTCTATACTTACGCATGCTGCAGTAACTAATACCACAAGAGCGTTCAGCAGAATACTCAACATGTTGTAACTCATCAATAAACCATTGTGCAGTAGATACAGTCTGCTGAACGCACTCAATATATTGCAAATTAAAGAATAAAATTTAAAAAATCAAAGCTGCATTGTGAAAGTGATGACAAGGTAGTAGAACCTGTCACGTATCATAAGTAACACCAGAAGTCGATCAGCCACTCCATTGGAAACAATTAACTGGTACTATTCGCAAAGAACAATTAGATTCGTGGATTCGTCTAATTTATTATTATATTCATTATTAAAATAATAAAAAATGCATATCAATAGCAATTAAGAATACAGCAATAAAAGAATTTAATTTGTTAATTTAATTTAATGATTATTATAGTGATATTAATTCAATATGCATTTACGAGTCTGATAATTCGATACAAACAAATTCTTTCTTCAGCATTAGCACTGTTCGTCGCATTTAGTGATATAGGGTGGTGCACATTCGCTGTGTTTTACACCGAACGAACAGACGCGAGTCGATTTAGGTGGCAAAACGGCATATATCGGACCTGGACTTTCGGAAATTAACTGTAATGCACGTCTAGTACTAGCAATAGTATACATCGGTGCTCTTGGTTTCACTGCGTCCAAACTGTACGAATAGGGACCTACGCTAATTTGGGGTTTCTTCGCAGCTGTGCGCAATCCTCTACAATTAAACGGTACAATTCATATACGAATCATATTCTAAAATGAATAAATAAAAATTACAAAAGAAATATTGAATGTACATGGAAAACGCTGGCGCATCAGTAAAAGGCTTGATGTAATAAGGTCCTGGAGTTTCACTAGTTTTCCTAAATTTAGTTCTCCATTTGATTGAATAAAAAGGACCATGAGCGACATCGGGTAACATATATTTTGGACCAGGTCCGAACACGATATCTGTCAAGTGTAAAAAAGAAAGAAATCATATTGGACAAAAATACAAAATATTGTTAAAAGATAGCATGGCCTGCATAAAAATATACTACTAGTGCAATAAGTAAATTCGAATAGTGTAATAGTGGTGGAGAAAATTTCATTAAAATTACACTGAAATTTTCTCCACCACTATTATACTATTTGAAAATTTACTTATTACACTAGTATAATATATTTTTACGTGAGGGATATCTCACTAATGCTATATATTATAATTCAGTAAAACATTCAATTATCACAATAAGATCAAGATGATGATATCTTGATTGAGTAGATTTGACACAAAAATTCCATTGAATTTTATATTAATTTGACATCACTCTAATGTAACTATAATATTGCGTGTTATTTGGAAAATATTGCAAAATATAATAGAGATATTATATTTTAATATTTGATAGATATTTTAAAATGTTACAAAATTAAATTAATAAATTAAGTACAGTATTAACTATAAATAAAGTTATTAAAATTATTCGACAAAATTAGTAAATTAAATATATCTATTAGTCAAATAGGTCCCGTATATCTGTGTACAACTTTGCGTGCGCACTACGGACATATGTATGAGAGGTAGCCCTGTTCAGGCAGAGAATCGAAAGGCATCGCACACTATAAAATAGTGATAGATAGAAGTATATCTATTATTAACTGATTGTAATTGAAATTATTAGAAATTTGAAAACAGAGTAATATTTATAATTAATCGACTAACAATTAGTCAACAAAAAGTTGATTTATTCATATAAGTGGTTCTGTTTTTAATCTTAATAATATTTATAATCACTGTTTTTTATAATCACTTGTTTTTATATTACATTTTTTATATGGATAGAATGAAATATTTTTATATTTCTTCAAATTTTATAAGTTCTGTATAATTTTCGGTATCATATATATATATATCTATATATACATACATATATATACACATACAAATATGTTCGTGCTATGGCCTTTATGTGCTCAACCAATGGTACAAAATGTGATGTCATTGGCTGCATTCAGCGGACTCAATAAATTTCAGAATTCACACATATATATAAAGACTTCGAGAAAGAGAGAGAGAGAGAGAGAGAGAGAGAGAGAGAGAGGATATAAACTTTATTAGCACTTTAGAAATGTGTTCCAATTTGTATTTAAAAAATCTAAAAAATTTTCTAAAAACTTACAAAATTATTTATAAATTTTGAAAAATTCGGAAGTTTATATAAAAAATTTTAAAAATTTATATATAAATTCTGAAAAAAAAATTTACCTCGGATGTTATAACAATATTTTATATAATCAGAGCATGATTTGATTTAAATGACAAAATCCTTTACCACGACGTTTTACAGTATGTCCAAAAGTAAATCCTTTGAGTCTATGTTCTTTAATCATGTATTTCGGTCCTGGAGTTTTTGCCACTTCAAAGATGACACGACGACCTCCAAATGTATATGCTGGGTTTCGATATTTTGAAATACAATGATCTTTGTAACCGACAAGTGTCTTAAGTTGATATTTAGGCCCTGGAGCTACAGAATACATAATAAATTATATTTAATAATTCTTATAGAATGGTTTTTGAATGTGAATACGTCAAAAAGCAATCATGGCTGTGACAAAAACTATTAAATTATTTATAGTGTTATAATAGTGTCCACATTATTTTTATCATGAGATTTAGTACTTTATTGGAATATTATATAAAATTTACGTTTGTTTTCACCTCCATATAAAATCTTTATTTAAATTAGATGTGATGAATGCGTACTGATAAAGTGACATGTCATGGTGCCCTTTGTCTCAAACGTTTTTTTTTCACTTTTGACAATGTTGCCTTTTCTGCGCTCCTTTTTTAATGGCATTTTTTTACTTGTATATTTAAAAATTTTACTTACGTATCATATATTATACATGTCATATTACTATAATTTTAACTCCATTTCGGCAAAAAAACAATTGCTCATATAAATCATCTTAAAACCTAATCTAAGCTGTGTTCGGAAATATCTCCCGGTGGCCTAAAGTCCCTAGAGGAGAGTCTGGTCAACGATCTAAAGCCCAGTGTCCACGATGCTAGAAATCCGTCAGAGATCTCGGATGAAGAAAGAATTGACCAATCGCATTGATCATGTGACTAAATTGTTTAAATGTAATTGGTTAATTCTTTCTCTCTCCGAGATCTCGGACCAATTTCTAGCATCGTGGACACAAGGCTTAAGAGACAAATGGCAAGAGAAAATTAATGGCCGCAGCACGGACTCTTGCATAACGCATAATGCATAGTGCATAAGGGAATCGACCAATCGAAATTCTTCTTTTCCATGGAATGGGAGGAAAGGAAAGATTCTGATTAGTTGATTCGCTTATGCACTATGCGTTATGCGTTATTCAAGAGTCTGTGCTGCGACCTTAAGAAATAAATGGCGTCCACGATATATAGGCTGTGTTCCAAAATTGACTGCCAGTACTGAAAATCTATAGTGCGTATAACGTAAACTGTAGCATTTCCAGTGCTGGCAGTAAATTTGGAACACAGCCTTTATATATAGGCCTCTAGTCTGAACTGGTGCACGCGGTGCAATAAGTTGAAGTGAAACATATACGTTTGTTTCATTTCAACTTATTGCACTGTGTGCACCAGTTCAGACAGTGCAGGAAAAAAGAATAGGCCCCTTCTTCTTACATCATGCTCGGTATCACCCGGCTACCCCGGCATCGTCCGTCATCTCAGTCATCTGGTGATCTCTCTCGTCTTCCCGTGTTGCAACCAATTGTAACGTCGAATTTGTTGATCGACAATTCTGGGTCGTTGTCACCTTGTCGGGACTCATTTTAAATTCGTTTTGAACTCATCTAAAATAAGAACACAGAGAATTCCAGACCGCTAATCCTGAGATATGATACGAACCACATCGAGAATACGTAATGGATTGGTATGCGCAATCTTCCGTGGTTCCGTGCGAACCAGCACCAAATCCATAGTCGTTCGGTATCTTCACAGAAAGCATCAACAAAGGTATTATATCTGTTATCCGAGATTATCCTCGTGTTCGAATCCTTTTACAGGTTTTCTAAATATTGCACACAAGGACGATCTTTAAGGTTATTTTACGTCAATTTCAACGCACGAACGGCGAGACCTACTTCTTAAAGCGTAATATTTGAGTTTTAGTCTCTTGTCAAAATAGTTCTCGTCTTAAAACTTATATAATCATTGTCTGTTATGCACAAAAAAACATGATGGCATAATATTGATTTTCTCAATACTTCAGACTTCAGCTTTACAGTGCTTTGCGTTTTGTCACAACACCATGGCAGCAACAGCTCAGGTTCTATGTCGATTATCCTAATCATATCAAGGTTCCGCTTCCAGCATTGTCTCCTACCATGGAAACAGGAACAATAATCAGCTGGCAGAAGAAGGAAGGTGAGACCGTCTATCAATGTTGACATAACAGATATAGATTTTAATTGTTACAAAGATAAAATTATTTGTTAAATACATCAATCAATTTCTTATATTTGGTCCACTAGGTGACAAGTTGAATGAAGGTGATCTGTTAGCAGAGATCGAAACAGATAAAGCTACCATGGGATTTGAAACTCCTGAGGAAGGTTATCTAGCCAAGATTTTAGTACCTGCGGGAACAAAGAATGTACCTATAGGCAAACTAGTTTGCATTATTGTACAAGACGAGTCTAATGTAGCTGCATTTAAAGACTTTAAAGATGATACAGTGGCTGAGCTTCCTCCTAAACCAACAGCTCCTGTTACACCTGTACCACCGCCAACTGTAGCAGTACCAGTAGCTCCGTCTGTATCAGCAAAAGTTCCTTCTATCATGCCACCTTCCGGAGAAAGAATATATGCCAGTCCATTAGCAAAAAAATTAGCAGCTGAAAAAGGACTTAGTTTACAGGTGCTGCAAGATTGCTAATATAAATTAAATTGAAAGAATGGAAGCAAGTATGAGCCAATTTGCCTCTTTATTTACCTCTGCTCTTTCAATTTGATTTCTATAATATTTTTCTTCATTATTAACTTGTGTTAATATTGAATTAACACATTTATATTCTTATGAATAATTTGTAGATATAAAACTTTTATTCTTTATTTATTTTGATTATTTATTAGGATCTAAAGGGAACAGGATTGTATGGCTCTATAACATCCAAAGATTTGGAAGGTGCGGTAGTACAGCCATTACAACCAGTGGTAACCAGCATTGGCACGCCAACTGGAGTAGATATTCCTATATCAAATGTACGTGCGATTATTGCTAAACGTTTGTTGGAGAGCAAGCAGACTATTCCGCATTATTATCTCTCGGTAGATGTAAAAATGGATGCCGTATTGGCGATGCGAGAACAGTTTAATAAATTGTTAGAAAAAGACAAAATAAAATTAAGCATAAATGACATTATCATCAAAGGAATGGCAATGGCTTGTAAAAAGGTTCCAGAAGGCAATAGCGCCTGGTTAGGAAACGTAATTCGACAGTAAGTATTTTATAATGTTATATAAACAGTAATATGTAGATTACTGTTTTTATAATTTTTTATGTTTTTTAGTTTTTATATTTATGTATTGAATATTTGTATTTAATTCTACTATGTTTGAATATATATATTGTTGCAACATCGTATCTTCTTTTAGATATAATAATGTGGATGTTAGTGTAGCAGTAAGTACAGATAGTGGTCTAATCACTCCTATAGTGTTTGGTGCTGACGTAAAAGGTATAGTTCAAATCAGTAAAGATGTGAAAGCGTTGGCTATGAAGGCGAGAGAAGGAAAATTAAAGCCACATGAGTTTCAAGGAGGAACAATTACCGTGTCCAATCTGGGCATGCTTGGAGTTAAGAATTTTTCTGCTATAATAAATCCTCCACAGTCTATCATTCTCGCTACAGGTGTCACAGAGGTTAGACTGATACCTGCCAAAAACGAGAAAGGGTAAAACATGTTTTATAATGTTTCTAGACAAATTTAATGTGCCGTTTATGACGTACAAATATTAATACCCAAATTTTTGCAGATTTACCACTGCCCAATATATGTCTGTAACTGCCAGCTGCGACCACCGTACGGTTGATGGTGCAGTAGGCGCACAATGGTTAGCCGCTTTTAAAGATTTGATGGAAAATCCAACGACAATGCTTTTATAGTAAGTTAAATCGTCGTTCATTTGTCAATTGAATGATTCGAATAGCAAATAATATAATACATAAATGTAATCTTTCAAAAATGGAAATTTATTGACTCCTGTATGTTTAATAATAACATAATACATTTTTTTATATTTTTTATATAAGTACATATATTTTTCTAATACTTTTTAACTTGAATTTAATTCTTGGCATATATATCTTTTTTGTTTCAGAAATGTTACTTTGGACAAAAACACATCTATACACAAAAGGGATGTTTCAGAAACAATACATTTATGAATTATTTCTTGTAACTAAGACTTCTTCGATGTTGATTCGGTTATGATTTCAAGTTTTTCAAAAAAGTTGTAACATACGAAACGTTATCTCTTGTTCTTACGGAAGTTCTCCAGTCATTTGACATAATATAGAAACTTGATCAAATTTTGAAAATAAATTTGTTATAAAAATAGAGGCATACTATATGAATTCAAAAATATTTATGTAAAGTTATACATTGAGATGCAGACATTAATTGTTCAGTAAATAAATAAAATATTTATTTGTTATAAACTAATTAATGAATCTCAATGAAACTTTGCATAAGTCATGTTTAGTATTTAATATATTTGTATAAAAAAATTTAGATTTTTATTTAAAAAATTTTTGTTTATAACAATAAAACTAATAACAAATAAAATAAATAATCTATAAAAATGTGTTGCTCAATGAAAACAATGTTATGAACACAACTTTCACATGTATATAGTTTGTTTAAAGCGTAAATATTAATATATGTTTTATGATTGGAGAACCTCCTTAAATGTGTGGATGAGAAGACTGTTTGAATTCAGTGTAATCAAAGTTAATGAATAATTTGGATTTTCCATTTTATTTGACAAGATTGGAAAATTATAAATTTATTATCACCTAGCAAAACTGCCTCTAAAAGTGATCCTGTGTACATATGTATATTTACAATAATTAGTAATTCAATTGTACTGTTGCAAAAAATATAATTACATTTTAAGACAAGTAATGATAAAAGTATCCAAAATGTTTATAGTAATTATAAAATATATCTTCTATTTAATACATTACCTTTTATGATCTGTATTTTATAAATATCCATTTTGAATAATTTTGTTTAATTTTTTAAAATTCTAGTTCAGACTGAATAAGGTATTTTTCTACTTAGTTCTGTTATTCACGCATCTAATAAAATTCTAAAATCATCTGTTTTATTTTGGCTCAATGGGATTTACATATACAATAATAAACATACACGATTTCTGTATCATTGACACTATAATGTAACCATGTCGGCGGCCAAAGCGTGACAGCACATGGACTCATGCCTTTGTGTAACGTTTTTTTACGTTAGTCGTTAATTTTTTATGTCAAAAATTAATCAGTTAAATAGCTATCCGAACAGCCCGCAACTGTAATAATATCAAAAACTCCGAAAAAAAAGTCTGAATCTTTTCCCGAAACAGGAATATCATGTTTTTAACGATGAGAATGCTCTACAAAGTTAAACAAAAAATTGAAAATGTCGAGTTTTTAAAGATGTTTTTATGCGGAATGATTTACATTTTTCATAATATTTTATAAATATTTTAAAACTATTTGGCGTTATGCACTACTCAACAAAATTAAAGAATCACTTGTTCCACCCTATAAAAATAGGCAAATTTCAAGATAGAATAACTTTGTCAAAAATCATCGTATCGAGATGTTTAAAACAGCATTTTAAAGCTTGAAACCTCTACTTTTTAGACTGGTACTTAAGAAAACGGTCTTGTTGATATCTTGTGAAGTTACATAAACATAAATGCAGACGTATCA